CCTCCCGGCAAGTATTCCAGTGCGGACCTGTGCGCCCAAAAGCATGTCACAAAAACTGTTCGAAATGATTTCCGTTTTGCTCGACGCACAGCTGGGCGCGTCTTAGCCATGTCTCTTTACAAGCACGCAATAAAATCACTGGTTGATTTCTGATCACTGTACTCATTTCCTCAATTCGAGCACGTAATTCTTCGCGTGTATTAACCGGTGTTTTATACACTAGAGTTTTTAGCCAACCCCACAAACAAAAGTCTAAAGGATTTAAGTCCGGAGACCTTGGCGGCCAAGGTACAAAATCGCCACGGCCGATCCAACGATTATTAAATTGTCTATTTAAAAATTCACGCACATTTCTTGCATAATGGGGTGGTGCCCCATCTTGTAAAAACCACATGTTTTGTCTAATATTTAAAGGCACATCTTCCAGTAAACCAGGCAAATTGTGTTGCAAGAAATCAAGATAATTTTCACCAGTTAAGCGATTTGGTAATTCAAAAGGCCCCACTAAAATTCCATTAACAATTCCCGCCCACAGGTTGATTGGTTCAAATCGCTGTTGAAAATTGGTTTCCCTTATTTCATGGGGATCTTCAATAGCCCAAACGTGAGAATTACGTTTCTAGTAAAGAGGGCTTCATCAAATTTGATTTAAAAAATTGTCATCATTTTGATGTTTATTTAAAAGCCAATTGCAAAAGTCAACCCTTTGTTCATGATCTTCCGGTTGTAAGGCCTGCACTTTTTGTATGTGAAACGGATAGAACTGATTTTCACGTAGAGTTTTCCAAGTTTTATATTGACTAATCGCCAATTGAGTTGAAATTTGTCGGGTGCTTACTGTTGGATCATCACTTACTAATTCTAAAATTTGTTCTTCTAGTTCTATTTGATCGTGCGGTCCGGCATGATCTCCTCTGTGAGGTCTTAAGTCACCTGATTCACGAGCTCTTTGCACCAGATTAACAAAGGCACGAGGGGTTGGTTACACTCGATTGGGAAACCGATCCGCATAGATCCGTGATGCCGCGGCAGCATTTTGTAAAGACTAAAGAACCATGTCCACAAGTTCAGCATTTTCGTAAACATGTGCCATTTTTGATTTGAGCCACGCAACAGACACGACTATTCACTTACGCGTTACCGACTACCGACTGACACTGACTGTATACAACTGAAGAAAATAATTGTAAAAACGTCGTTCCAAATTCTTTCGCTTTTTTGTTTCCGATGCGATGAACGGATAAGGCGGATTATATCTGTTGTTGCCAAACACGAGCACATAATATTATTATTGAGACAGGGCGGTACTCAAACTTCCAAAGGGCTATAACTTTGTTACTTTAATTTTACCAGAAAAATGGTAAAGGAAAAAAACATTTATTTTGATCAGATCTACTCACTGTTAAAATAAATGACTCAACTTCGAAGTCACCCTGTATAAAATAGTGCCATCATTTTTATTGAAGTTTGCATTATTGTAGTAAACATTAAAATTTTCAATATTATAGATGTTTATATCCTCAATAGTCAGTATGATAATATCACAGTGTTTAAGATCATAAGATTCAAGAAAAATTAACAATTCATTAAAATTGTTATGTATACTACGAATATTGAGATGAAGTATGTTCAGTACATCATTGTTCAAAGTTATTAAAGTCTTTAACAAATCACGGTAGGTCGTACCTTGTACCTCCTCATCCACGACATCCAAAAGTTCTTCGATCTCGATTTCTTGTCTATAAGTATCCATGACACCCTACATAATCTATTTTACTTCTCTCTCTTAGATATGTGATTGTAAAATCATTACTGTCATTAATAAAACTGTTTTGCTCACGTATGCATTTCTCCAAATCAGTACTATAGAGGTTCCCAGGGTAACCAATGATTTTAAATCTGGATTGTCTCATTTTTGTTAGCTGAACTACATAATGTTTTTCCATTTGACTCTATCAACTCAAAAAAATAAATATTAATGCGATCGGGGAACGATAACGCGTGCTAACTTTCGGTCACAATTTGGATTTGAATGTTAACAGGAAACCATGTCTGGATTTCAAAACCTAATTCTCATTCGACAAATAAAACACTGCTTTATTTGCATCTTATATTTCTTAGATATTTTTCATTAAGAGAATATTACATTCTTACTAAATTTTCTTTTTACAGTCAGGATGTACCTGCCTGTGTTCTTGTACGTATTAAAAATTGTTTTTGTTCCTCATCTGCCATGGAAGTCTTGGGTAAACTTGACTGCTCAAAGAATATTATTGAAAGTTCTATTAATTCTCGGTATTCGTCTCTAGCAACTTCTTTGATCAATTCATGTCGATAAAATTCTAGCAGCTTGTCAGTCTCTGAAATATTCAGGCTTGGTAGCTTTTCAGTATAAATCTGTATTTTCCCGGGATTCACACTTTTCCTGCTCTGGTGAATATTTTTAAACATTGGAATATCAGCGCTTGTAGTCACTTGTCGATATTTGATTCAAATACGCCTTTTAAGGTGACACGTCCCTTTTTTTAGATTTCTTTTCAACTTCCTGTTTGCAGCAGTATTCTAAATCCTTTTCATCTGATAATTTCTTTACTTCATTTTTCATAATTCTTTTGCGGCTTTCAAAGCACAACTCTTTTTGTGGTCTACTAATAGATGTTGTGGTTATATCGGATCAAGAAGATATGCTAACAGACTATATGGAGTGGTGCATTGTTCGTATTGGTGTCTAAATTTTTGTATTTGACTTGAAGTAAAACGCTGATTCGAGATGTTTGAATTCTCGGACATCAGAAAGGGTTGCATCAGTTCTTTGAAGCCTAACAATGGCAACAGAAATAGGGCTCAGAATCGCTAAATAGTCTTCAACAGATCTTTTATAGATATTTGGAATTTTTTCTCTCACTACGGCGTCGATTTTATTTTGCTCCTCGCTAACTTTCAGAAGTTTTGGCCAGGATTCAATGATACTTGTAAGCAGTCAGCCAGTGAATTCCACCTCACGTCATTAGATAGAACAATTTTTTTCCACCTTTTCCGTATGTCGAAGAACCAACAACACCCTCCTTGATATCTTGAACTTCCAAATCTTTGGAAAATAAATTTAAAATATGAGCAGCGCAACAATATGTAATAACGTTCATTTTAGTGTATTCTTGTATTTTATTTCTCTTTGCGTTCATATTGGCTGCATTATGGGTAACACTACTACTCACTACACAGTTCTGTCAAGGAAAAAAGCAGCACAAATTGTTAATAATAAAAAAAATCACGATTTAATCGAAATAATCGGATTTTTTATTATGTTGGGATCTTTCCTATCTCAGCAGGGCATTTGAAAATCTGTATTTCCTATTGTATAATAATTGTGGTAATAATTATTCAATTCTATCAAGTTTTCTAAATGTTCTGGCAAAAGACGATTTTTTATTTTAAATATAAAAATAAGAACCTAATATGATATGAATTTTTTTTTATTGTAACATAGATTTTATTTTGGTGTACTTATTTTTATTCAATATTCTCATAGTTTTATTTTGAGAATACAGCTTCATTGGCAGTGAACAAGATAGTTTAACAATATAGTAAATGCGGTAGAATAATTGTATTATAAACTATTTTCTTGGAATAGGTACCAAGACTATGAGAAGCCCTATAAAAGTAATTTGTTATTTTGTCAATTTTTGAAATAATGTATTCATAGTGATCCTCAAACTTTAGTTACTATCAATATTTATATAAACCTAAATATTTAATTGATTCGACATTTTCAATTAGTTCTCCATTTATCCTAACTGTGATAGTATTTTCATTTAGGTATTCCCTATTAGCATACATTTTGTTTTAGAAGTATTTAGTTTCAGTTTATTTACATTTACCAATTTACGATTTTCGCCTAGTTAGAATTTATCATTTTTAAAGCAGTGTCTATATTTTCATCTGATATGTATATTAATGTATCATCTGCAAATATCTGAAGTTTACAATAATCTAAAATATTACAAATGTTTAGTTTACTACCTTGTAGTATATCAACAGAAATATTTTTTGATCTTAATAATGTAGATCCAATTTTGGTTTTTTGACTTCTGTCAATTAAATAGTTTTGTAGAATTTTGAGTGCAGATCCTTTAAATCCGTAGTGATGCAATTTTATAAGTAATTTATCCCTGTCAATAGTCTCAAACGCCCTTTTGAAGTCCATAAACACTGTTACTGTATGTTTCCTATTGTCCATACATCTCCTTCAGTCCTCTAAAACCATTTGTGTTGCCGTTTCAGTTGAGAGTTTCTTCCTGAATCCAGCTTGAAATTTGGTTAAAATGTTATTTCCCTCAATAAATTTGATGATCTGTTCGTAAATAACTTCTTCAAAAACTGGCAAAACATATATTGGCCGCATATTGGTGTACAACTCAGAATTCTTAACTTTAGAAACGGGAGTTATGGCAGAACATATGGTAAATATAATTTGCATACTTTTTTACCTGTAATACCGTATGCCTTACTACTGTAATATGTTTTTTCGTGTATTTTTTATGTTTCATTTGGACTATGCTGCAAATTTCATTAAAGGGTGTTTAACATTTTGAAATAGATTCTTTACAATTTATTATTATGCATGTTTTTGATAATAGAAATAGGCTTTTGATTGATAAATGTTATGCAATCAGGCAGGTTAGTGACTTGAATGTGGCTTTTGTCAAAAATAATGTTGGTATAAAATCACCCGATATACTTGAACCGATAATATTTAACAAGCTACCAAACGTCATTAAGGAATGATGCAATATTAATCAGTTTAAAACTAATTTGAAAGTGTTTATTGTATTTAAATGTTATTATGCCATCTCAGAATTTGACTGTTTATAATTGTTGTTTGTTTTATACATTTTTATTTATTATTTTCCATTTCAAAAGATAATAAATAATTTGAATTTGAATCAAGTAAATATACTGCGACAAGCTAAGTATGTTCTCATAGACGAATTTTGTTTCAGCCTGTAGCCGAGTCTCCATTCAAATTCGACACGGAGCTGGACGATCTTCCAAAAGAGCACTTGAAGCGACTGATCTTCGAGGAAACCATACTTTACAAGCAACGGCAGCAGACGGAGCAACAAGCGCAACCTCAGCAATCCATGAACACTTCATAGTTATATGAGATCAGTGTTTAAACGGATGGATAACGTGTGAGATTCTGATTGAGACGATTTGCGGTTAACCGCAAAAACGCGCTAGTGCTATGCGATGTGAACATCGCGTAAGACATTTCATTTATATCTATCTATGTGTTGAAGCTAAGCGATATAACTCTTGAGGTTCAATCAACAATTCAAAAAACTGTTATTTGGCGTCATTCTATTTTTCAAATCAAATCTATACTGTATAATAATAGGATCCGTCATTCACCTTTATCGCGTCTGAGTAAATACCTTTCTTTATCTGCTGCGCTGGCAGCAGCTTCGAGTTTTACTGAAAGGTCCTGTAGAGCACATATGGGAAATAGCTTTCTGCTTTTGAAAATGTATATTGTAAAGTCCATTCAAACCTCATTCGCCCTGCGTGAAAACAAATACGAGCACGCGATCGCCACCGCTATTCACATTTCGCTGCCTGCTCGGGCATTTATCGCCGGCTGACGCGCGATTTTGAACGTCGCGCGCTGGTGTTTGTTTTAGCGATGAGCAAATGAAATTTGGAAACACAATAAATCTCGACGCGTAAAACAAAAGTGTCCATGGGCCCACGAGTAGTTCCTAGACGTAGGGTCCCCAAGTTGGGTTGTCCCTAATCTATTACAGCGAATTCCTGGTAAATTGTTTCAGAATATACTTTGTGCTACTGTGTAACAATTTCAGCGGTCGTAATTGTTTGACGTACCCTTTCCAAACGTTCGGACATAGAGTGATCCTTCTGGAACGTCAAAAGTGTACTTTTCCTCCCGCAAGGGAATAAGAGTGTTGTCAATCTCATTATTGGTTATCAAAAAGTGCTAAAAAGTGGCTCAATATAAAGGGTTTTCCATTAAGCACTTGACAACTTTTTTTAAATAAAACTCAAACCATTTGAGATATCTTGAGGATTTTATTATTGGATTGAAGTATACTCATAACGTTTATGTATGGAATTCGACCTCGTTCATATGTCCACCACGGGCACGTTCGCAGCGATCGATTCGTTGAACCCAATTTGCAATAACTCTGCCACATATTTCGACGGAAACGGCCGCTACCTCTCGTTCAGTATTTTCTCTGAGCTCCTCTAACGATGCCGGCTTGTGTGCATCGACGAATGATTTAATGTAGCCTCACAAAAAAAGTCTAGAGGTGTTATACCACACGATCCAGGCGACCATTCGACAGGACCGTTATCGATATATCACGTTCACCGAATTTTGATTTCAATATGTCGATTGTTTCACCCGCTGTGTGGCTTGTGGCGCCGTCTTGTTGAAACCACATATCATTAATGTCTAGCCCATCCAGGTGACCAAAAAAATAACGTTGCAACATGTCTGTTGACTGTAACGTGAAGGTCATTTTCATCAACGAAAAAAAAAACTGCCCAATGACACCACACCGTATAGTTATTTTTTGTGAATGAAGTGATGTTTCTTGAAGAACATGAGGGTTTTCACCTGACCAATACGAGGGTGGTCCCAGAAGTACCCAACCCAACGAAGAAAACACAAAAATTTTGAAAAAAAATTATTTATTTTTCAACATAATCTCCTTTGAGCTCTATACACTTTTACCAGTGAAGTTCGATACCCTTTTTATAATAACTGTTTTTTCAAGTTTGGAAACATAAAATAATCCGAGGGGGCTAAATCTGGTGAATAGGGTGCATGAGGTAGCAATTCAAACTTTAATTCGTTAATTTTGGCCATTGCAATAACGGATTTGTGAGCTTCGCTAAACACTCAATTGAAACATCTTTTTGCTCAATTGTGCTTTCTCATGTCCAAATTTTCAGATAATATTCGATGAACCGTACTTCTTGAAATGCCTACTATGTCTGCTAGCTCGCGCACTTTCAGTCGACGATCATTCAGTACCGCTTTGTGAATTTTCTTCACCATTTCTGGAGTCGTCGCCTGATTTGGTCGATCACTGCGATGCTCGTCTTGGCAGCTCATACGGCCTCGTTTAAACTCTGCTACCCAATATTTTACTGTTGTAAACGAAGGAGCAGACTCACCCAGACTAGAATCCAGTTCAGCTTTTATATTGGTTGGGCTGAGGCCTTTGAAATAAAAGTATTGTACCACATAACGATGACCAATTTTCTCCATTTTCACAAATTTACTGAAAACGTTCAGTATTGATGACTGCCAAACAAATACTACACAATGTGGCGTCTTCAAACTTGACACATATGCTTTATAGGTTGCATACTTTCCAATACAATGATATTTTTCAAACAACTATCGCCATCTCTAGGTCAGGTCGGGTACTTCTGGGACCACCCTCGTAATGCATATTCTGTTTGTTGACGAAGCCGTTTAGCCAAAAAATGCGCCTCATCCCTGAAGATGATTTTGCGATGAAATTGATCATTTTCTTGCAACATTTCTAGAGCCCAATTCGAGAACGTAAGTCGGTTCATGCGATCGAACGGCTTCAGTTCTTGAGTTAACTTGATCTTATAAGGGTGCAGGCCAAGATCTCTTTGCGAAATTCGCCATAGCGTCGACTGAGCGATGCCCAATTCTTGAGAACGCCGTGTTCTGTTCTTTTGCAACGGAAGCTTGAACGGCAGCAATATTATCGGCAGCTGTTGACTCACTGCCACGAGAACATCGAGCAGCGAATATGTGAACTCAATTTTTTTTACTAGACTATGAATTGCTAGTCTACTGGAACGAGAATTACGAGCAAAATTAGCGTTAACGCTCTTAAAGTTGCAGTCACCGACTCGGAATTTCGTTAGTAAATTTTAATTATTTGTAAGAGTTGTTCGTTCGTGTACTTCACCATGATGAAAATGTTTTCTTCACTGAATGTTTTGACATTGACAGTTCGGTAACTGATTTAAAGGTGCGTTCACAGTGAAAGTTCAAAGTTGTCAAGTCCCTGTTGGAAATCCGATATATTTTCCCCGATAAATGGGCTATCTCGTATCCATAGCGTTTTTTATAATAAAAAAACGGTCGCAGAACACGTGGTTAGAAATTAGTGGTCTGTCGCCCAGTGTCATTACATGGCTCTGTAATAATTTAGACGTTCTAAAGATAAAGTTACACAGTATTCCAAAGTAAAATTCCATCTGTGTGTGTCCCAAACTTCCGTGGTCGAAATATTATACCTAGACATAAAGTTTAAAAAAACTGTGCACCGCACTTGCAATGTGGACAACTTGGAGGTGCTATATTTCGGAAACAACTCGTAGAAAGACTGGGCCCAATTTTATTATACAGGATGTTCGAAAAATTGACGTGGATATTTAAGATGGTGATTCCTTGTTTAAAAATATGAAAAAAACTTTCTATGAACATGGGTCCGGAAATGCAGTTTTCAAGGTACAAGGTGATTGATACATTCAAAAAAATACAATATCTTAACCCTTAAACGGTCGATGTCTCTCCTGAGATACGGTCACATGGTACTGGCATGTATTTAAAAACCCATTAAAATGTAGCGAATTGGGCAGTGTATAGTGTGAGATACATTCACTAGTTAATAAAACAACAAATACTAAAGTTCCAAAAAGGGCAGTGGCGTACATTCTTTTGCCAATAATATTCGCTAAGGTGCCTCCGGGGTGCCACTGAACATAATAGTTTTAATATATTTAGGGCTAAATTATCATCTTAATTCAACAAATAATATTGCAAAATTTCAACTGAAATCCAGTAAATATGTTTTAAGCATCTGAAAATACAACTTCTTTGCCTCTTGTATTTTTGGGTATCTCACTTCGTTTTCGAGAACCAAAATTAAAACCGTTTTATTGCATGTCACTAGACAAAATCGGTTTATTAATTTTTGATAACAAAATCACAAGTGCCTTGGAAAACAAAAAATCAAGAAAAATGTCCAGGAAATAATGTACAGTACATCAAGTGTTGGGAATGTTCACCATCCTTTTCGGTACACCTTACACGACGAATCATTGAACGACGAACTCGAGCTAAAATTCGAGGTCTATTATATCTTCGCAACCATTGTCGATTTTATTTCTCAATTCTTCTATAGTCTCTATGGGAGTAGCGTAAACCATCGCATTAAGGTGTCCCCATAAATAAAAATCTAGTGGATTTAAGTCAGGGGAGTGGGGTGGCCAGTGGATTGGTCCAGCTCTTCCAACCCGATTTTCACCAAAGGTGTGATTCAGATGAGTTTTGACAGGTATACTAAAATGCGGAGGAGCTCCATCGTGCATTAAAGTTATTTGGTTACGTACATTTAGAGGAACTTCTAGCAGAACTTGTTGAAGACACTCTAATTAAGATTCGCCGTTTAATCTTAAGGGTAAAAAGAAAGGCCCAATTAAATTGTCACCGTCCACCACCCATCCACACATTTAAAGAAAATTGTTCCTGGTAGCGACATTGTTCGTAAGCATCAGGTTTTTCTTCACTCCATACATGATTGTTATGGTAATCAACATACAATCCTGCTTCGTCCGTAAACAGTATGGTTTTATTAAAAGTCCTATTATTATCAACCTTTTGGTAATACCATTGGCAAAACTGCAAACGAGGTAGAAAATCTTTTGGTAATGCTTGCACACGTTGGACATGAAAGGGTACAAAAGAAGACCCTGCCACACAGTGCTGTTGGAAAGATTACGCCCTAATCTAGTTGCTATAGTCCTGGTACCGATACCAGTATTTAAATAACATTATTGTCAAAAACATCACCAAAAAGAAATAAGAAAATGTATCTCTTTCCCGTAATCTACGGCCTGTGCTTTCAAGGCTTCGACTATCTGGAAGTTGCCGATTGGGAAATGCTTCTGCATACAGGCGTCTCGCTCCATAACAGTTACTATAAGCACGTGTATACATTACATACATGTCTGCCATTTCCTCAAAAATGTAAATTTAGAGAAATTTCGCAAATAAAATTACGTGAATAATTCTTTTCTAGACGAACTGACGCAGACGTGGATGTCAAATCTCTATGCAGAAATGATTTTTTGTTTTCACAGGCACTTGGTTTGTTGTTGCAAAAAATTAATAAACCAATTTTGTCCAGTGACATGCAATAAAACTGTTTTTATTTTTTTCTCGAAAACGAAATGAGATATGAAAAAAAGAGGCAAAGAAGTTGTATTTTTAGATGCTTAATCAAACAAAAATATTAAAGTCTTTTTTCCAATAATATCCGCTAAAGTGCCCTCCCAGGACGCCACTAGACGTAATAATTTAATCTATTTAGGGCTAAATTAACCTCTTAATACAAAGAATAATATTACCAAATTTCAACAGAATCGAATAAATATTTTTTTAAATTAATAATTTTTTTTCAATTTATCACACTGTATCTTGAATACTCTCCATTTCCGGACACATGTATACAGCAACTTTTATCATATTTTTTAACACGGAATCACTCTCCGTGTATTTTTTCGAACACCCTGTATTGCAGTTAATTTTCTTACACCCTAATGACGTAATCTGTGCTAAATCGTCTTATGCGATATGTGATTTTGAATGCACTTCAAGAGTTTATTATTATACTGTGAATATTTGTAGTATTGGTTCAGTTTGGAAGGACAGTTCTTCCACAATGAAATTTCAATCGATACATGATCACAATGAATTCTTACTGTTTGTACTAAACCTGTGGCATCCGTAAGCCAGAGGATGTTTGAATATTACACAAATTTCAATGGCTGGCAAAAAAATATCACCGGTCATTTTTTTATAGTGGGAATGCTCAAATTTACAAAATTGGAAAAATCCAAATGTGGTAGGGAACTCAACTTTTTTTGTTAGTTCGCAAATGTTGATATCTTGTAAGTAGGTTCCCGTTTAATTTGTGGCGTATTCATATTTTTAAAGAATAATATCAGTAATTCAGAAAACATTTTAAACACATCCTCTGGTCAAGGATAATAATATTAATCATGAGGTCGAACGTTTTGTCTCTACATAAAACTCCTGTTGAGGTAAAAATATATGCTGAAATGCTAGGGATTTATAAAAAATGGTCATGTAATAAGTCTGTAGGAGTTACATTGATTTTCCAGTATTAGGAAAACTGGTACCAAATATTCATTCAATCAATTTTGAATGATTCAATTGATACTTATTTTAAGCCCTGTGTGGGGTCATATACGTTATAGATGCAGCCAAAACGTCTAAATGTTCCTTTGATTCATTGATTTTTACTCGGCGTTAGTGAGATTACATTGAAATTACGGAAGTTTTACTATCACAACATTCCAATTTATTATTTTTGCCCTGAGACACCTGGCCTGATCTAGTCGACAAACTCATTGCAAATTCAAGTTGTTAAGTTTGTATCTCAATACTAAACTATTAAAAAGGCGTGTTGTATCAACATGATGGTAACACTAGCATAACTTACTTGTGGATGTAAAGGTGGTTACAGAACAAGCAAAGAAGAGGTATACCAAGAGAGGACACTGCGCAAAATGTCTTTGAAATTTACTGGTCGCTTTCATTGACTTTGTCCCTTTAAATCGGTTTGACACTGCATTACTTGTTGTCTACATGTTTTACGACAAGAACAGATTCGTAAAGGGTGGCCCAACAAAAAGGTCGCACCCCATTTGTGACTCTCCTGGTATATTTTGGGAAAAACGCTCGGACATGTCAATTTTGATTTCTAGCGAGTTTTTTTGCCTTATCATTGAGTGGCCTCATCCACATTTTTCTAAGAACATTTCACTCATCAGTCATTTAAGTTCAATTAACTGAATGTGGTTGCTATTTTCAAATTTGAGTTTGGCTCCTGATGATGATATCATAGCCTATCTATCGAAAGCTTGAGAATTCAGTTACAAGAGTACATTTTGCAAAATTTTCCATTCTTCCACCTAACTAGTTATTGACGACAATGTCTCACCTCCATTTGTGACTCTCGGGCAATTCAATTTTGTTTTCTAGGGGGACGTCTTTTCACCTATAGCTGGACAATACAGGGTGATCCAAAAACAAGATATTGCGTTACATTTTAGATTTTCAAATGGAACCCCGCATTTTTTTAATTTTCAGATTCTCCATAAAGTTTTTAGTAACTTTTGTATAATAAAGCTTATACCTAGCTTAATCGTTGTGAAGCTATTTGAGTTTATAATAAAATTCGAGAAATTGTGAAAATTGACGTGTCCGAGCGTTTTTCCCAAAATATACCAGGAGATTCACAAATGGGGGTGCGACCTTTTTGTTGGGCCACCCTGAATATGAGCGAACGGCTAAAAGTGTTGACGAACCGAAAAAGACGGAATCTGTAGGTAATGTCGTTGAAATTCAGTAGATTCAAGGGCAAAATCGGTAGGAGGAAAGAGCAAGGCCATCGCAAGATCAGCGGTGGATCAAGGGCCTTTTCGTCACGCAGCGCCGTCTATGAAAGAAAAGTATTGCACGCACACACACCACAGGTTTTTTCCTGAATAAATATCAACTTCTTTATAACTTGTACTGGTCGTTTTTCAAACTCCTTTGCAGCCATCCTGGAAGCACCTTTTCTCATTCTTGTTGATAAGATTGTGAATATTTCTATGTGTTACCTATGAGCTTGACACCTGACATTTCAATTTGATATTTAAATCAAAACAAACGAGATTTTGTTTCCTTTTTGCTTGTCCGGTGATAGATAATGACGGTGATGACACAAAAACCAATACAGAGGAAACGGAGTAAGAGTGCCTGCATAATTACAGGGTGTTTCAGAACTAAGGGATCGAACTGCTAGGGGTTATTCATTATTCAGTGTAACAGTAGAAAAGATTTGAGTATAGGGGCCCATATCCGGAAAAGTGTCACTACGGCCCTAAGACGCGTTAAAATTTAGAAAGACGATGAATTGCCTAAATAGGATTTAATGCATTTAATTTTTGCCTTTTGTACATGATATCATCACAACAATTGTTCAAAATGTGGCGTTTCTTGGAGGAACTTCTTCCAGATGTATTGTCTCTTTAATTCGTTTGGCCAATCTATCTTTTTATAATTTTATTCTCCTTGTCTATCTTCTCTTGGTATGCGAGGGCGGATCAATAAGTCGGTGAATTTTTGGATTAAACACAGGTTTTTGACAAAAAAAACATCTTATTTCTCAACATAATCTAATATACAACGTTTCTGCAATTTTTTATCTATCCAAAAAAATAAGATTTGTCGAGCTCCTCATAATAGGTATTTGTCAAATGGTTTCACCGTTGGCGTCAAATCTCTTTCCGCCGAGCCATTTCTTTGAGTTTGGAAACAAGAAATAGTCACTTGGGGCTAAATCCGGAGAAAAAGGTGGATGAGGGAGCAATACATAGCCCAAGTCATGCAATTTCGCCATGAAGACTGCAGATGTGTACATTCTTGCATTGGCTTGTGGAAAAGAACTTTGTTCATGGTCAACAATGGTCGTTTTTTCTTCAAATGTCGGTGAATGTGTCGTCCAATGAGCTGGCATAATATTCGCCATACATTGTTCTGCCCTTTTGAAGGTAATCAAAGCGGATTATACCGCGTACATCCCAAAACACGATCGCCATGTGTTGAGGATAGGTAAGCAAAACAATTCAACTCGCAGTGGTCTTCGGTTCAGAACAGTTTATTGAGTACTTGTACATGAATGTGTAGATACGCGACAGGTGTATACCGGGCTTCCGCGATCCGCGCGCGTGCGTTGGCTGCTGTTGTTCTTCAACTGCATCCTACGACTGACTCCTTACGACTGAGTGCATTGCATAGTGCATTCCTAGTGCGGCGCGCGTGGACCGACGGCTGTTACAATTTTCAAGGTTAGGCGACGTGTCTGATCGTCTCGCCAGTAGCGGCGTGGCAGGGTGACGCTAGTACGCGTTCCATCACCATGACTTCATTTTGGCTGACAAACCGACCTTGGCCTTCGGCGTCGATTCGCCCGAAGAAACCCACCGTTTTGACTGCTGCTTGGTCGCCGGTGCTGGGGGATCATGTTTCGTTTCACGAAATGGTGCAAAAACACTCGGAAGTTGTCACATGATTGCGTTATAGATTTCTCATACCCAAGTGATCATTCGAAATCGGAATCACTGAGCCAAGTGATTCGCCTATGGCTTCCACAATCTCCCACACTTTCAATCTTCGATTCGGCCAATACCATACCTTTTACTTTAATTTTTTTGGGTGTAGAAAGCTCAACTTAGTCTTGCTTTGAGTGGTTGGTTTTTCCACAAAAAGTAATGCTAAATAAATAATGCAACGTCTGACAAACACGAACTAAATGACGCATCTTGTTCAACATTTGACAGGAGTCAACTGATAGATACTTGTTGGCAATTCAAAAAGTCACGGACTTAACTGACCCACCCTCGTACCTCCTCTTTGGATCAAGTACATGCTTTGTTCCATAAAGTACTCATTACAATTTGCGTTTTTGTTGTAAAACTTTTTGGGGTGCATTTCTTATGCGACCCATGGATATTTTGCTCACTAGATCGTTTATTGCTTACCCACGTGTCCTCTCTTGCCTGGACGTTCACTTTGCTTGTACCAGTAAAATGTTGTTCAAGAAGGTATGCTTCATAGACCCAGGCACATTTCTTTTACTGTTGCTATCTAGGCCAGGAAATAGGTATTTTTTTCCTACAACAGTAAAGTTTTTTGATGGTATGGAGCTTTTGCCGCCATTTTTTTAAACGCGTTTGATCGAATAACTATCGATCCTCTGTGAAAAAGTCATGAAGTAAATTCTTGACCATTTTGCTTTTTGGAAAATTTGCGGTTTACTCAACATTACGAGAAATTTAAGGGTAAAGGTACATGTATTGATATTTGCTCTTATATTGGTTAAAATAACAACCTAACCATAGAAAGACTACTATCATTTTATTAGAGAATAAAATTTTCCTCAAGAAACGTTTCTTCCATTTTTTCTATAAAATTGATGATTATCGAATGACAAGACGCGACAGTTGAAGAACTGTGATTTTTCCGCGGCACACTTATACGTTAAGCTCAATACCATCATCATGCTTTTTATGCACATAAGTGAAAGCAATAATTTTGCGATAAATATAATGTTTGCGCAGTTGATATCTATCACTTTCTTGGGGATTTTTTTGTAACAAAAATTCTGAAGGATTTTTGCCTCGTCTAAGAATTTTTCTTTTTTAATGCATCATTCAGTGAATTTAGAACAATAAACATTAATCGTATCAAGAAGATTATATCAAAATTGAAATCAAATCAAAATAAGAATGAGATTTTGTCTAAATGGGTATTAATGAATGTTTTGATATTATTGGATCGAAAATATTAATAATAATAACTTACATTTTAAAATATGGCGAATTTCCAACAAAACTGGTGTTCTACCATACTCCCGTTTCGAAAGTTTAGAAGTTGTTCAACAATAGGATTTTAACCAAATTTCAAGCTGGATTCAGGAAGAAACACTCGACTGAAACGGCAATACAAATGGTTTTAGAAGGCTGGAAAAGGTGTATATAAAACATACAGTGACAGTGTTTTTGGAGTTCAAAAAGGTGTCTGAAACTATTGACAGAGATACATTACTTAGAAAATTGTATCACTAAGGATCTGCATTCAAAATTTTACAAAACAATTGGCAAACAAAATTGGATCTACACTATCTAGCTCACAAAATATTTCTGTTGTTGTACCACAAGGTAGGTAACTAGGTCCACTACTATTTATTTTATGCATTAATGGCATTTGTAATATTTTAGATAAAATTCAGATATTTGGAGATGACACATTAATGTACATATCAGATGAACATATAGACACTGCGTTAAAAATGCTAAATTCTGAGTTGCCAAAAATTGATTAATGCAATTAATGCTTCTTAAACAAAATGTATGATAATACAGAAATACCTATATGAAAATACTATCACAGTTAGGATAAATGGCGAAATAATTAATAATGTTGAATCAATTAAATATGTTGAATCAATTACAATATTTGGAAAACCAAAGATTGAGGATCTTTATTTCAAAAATGGCGGCAAAACCTCCAAGCCTAGGCTGACGCAAATTTACACTCATCATTAGTAAGCGTTAATTTAACGATACCTTAAAAAATTTTACTGTCGCCGCATACTAAATTTATTATTTTATTATTTCTTGACCGTATCTGTCTGGTTTTCACCACACCACTTACTCTTCAAGTGAGGATAGCAGTATTGTGGTGCCATCATGTTTGTATTAATGTGTAGTACTTTAAGGCTAAATATTTTAACCTTAAATCATGTGCAGAAGCCTTATACAAGAAGTGATCTCCGCATGTGTGTAATTTTAACATTTATTTATTATTATATTTGTTATTTATTACCATTTTGGATATGTATATATTTCTTATGCTGGATGAATTTGGTGGGCAAAAATGGAGGCAACATATTGCAAAAAAAATCGAAAGTGGTTAACGATGTGTCAACAAAATACCAAAAAATTGAATGTCGCCATGTGTATTAACTTGTATTTGAAAAACTATTCTCTTTAAATGTGACAGATGACCATTTCTTTTGGCATGTGCACCATACACATTCTCAAAGTCTATTGAAACCTCAGTGTATCGAAAAATATTTATCTTTTATGTATAATAAAGGGTAAACTACTTTGATCTCACCACTATCAATCGTCAACTTTTTACAGTTCCAAGATAAGTGCCATTAACCTTGTACAAATGGGTATCTTTGTTACATAAAATAAAAGAATGGTCATCGGTCTTTAACCAACTTTCTTATAGCTTAAAGAATATAAACAGTCTATATTGCTGAGCTATTCCTTACATCTTGAGTCGATGCTGTGAACCAAAAAGGAAATTGAAACCTTTTTGTTAATGGAATATATATTCGTAAAAATAAATTTTTTAATCATACCGTTTTTAAGTTATTCAGTTTCGTATGTGGCGTTTCTTCATTTTTACCTAGAGGTATTTCACAGATTATAGAACAAATAACATGTGTGCCTATTCATTATTATAGATGCAAAAACGGGTTACCATTGTTATCTATTCTCAGACGTTACTACGTCAGATTTTCTGAACTCGAACCAAGGCATATTTGATTGAATTTATGTTTCCATTAGATAAATCTTGTTTAGAACTGTAGGTTTTGTATTATAAATTTGTAAATATTGTTTTTTTAGAATCCAGTTTCTGAAGTGAGTACTGAGTACATCAAATAATATGGTAACACAATAGGTAGATTATGAAAACCAAACAAAAATCAGATAAAAATCTATTTTTGAATGAAAACAGTTTTTAGAAGTCTCATAGCTAAAAATAAGTAAGATAGTCCACAAACAGTATTTTGGTCACTTATATCGCAAAAAAAACGTTCAAAGTTATATAAGTCCGTACACAAACACTAAAATTAGCACTATTCTCAACTTTGCCAATGTGTATATAGAGTCGGCTCGCACACATATAAAGTAATGATGTGATTACTCATAAAAAGAGTAAAAATGTATCCTGTATGAACCAAAATATTTTATCGAAAACATTGAGTTGGCAAGTTATATAATAAATGTTTATGCAGGGTTTTTCCAAAACATTCAAGGAGCGATTCTTTAGAATATCCTAAGTGCCGTATCGTCAGTCGTTCGTACAATTGTAGGACGCCTTTATGACCTCCTTAATTTTCATAGTGTTGATGACACGAAACAGTAAAAATCTAGAAATACCCATGGAAGACGGGACATACTGAAAATCAAGTAGGCCATAAAGGCGTCCTACAATAATTGTACAGTATACAAATATCAATTCGCATCAAACTGTTCATGATTTTGATTTATATCTTTTGTTATATGGCCAGAAAGGAAACGTAGCCTCATAATAAGAGAGCGCTGACGCTGACACGGAACAATATAGATATACAAGTTCCCCATCTTTTCTGGAGAATAGAAAGGTCTATAAAAATCAAGGAGGCCGTAAAGGCGTCCTACAATTGTAGGAACGACTGACGATACGGCCCTAAGACTATTTTGTTTTAGTTACGGAGATATATCCACTTGAACGACGCCACTGGAATAGGTTTTTTTCTTAACGAGTTTTGAACAACATCCTATAATCCAACAAAATTTTGACAGCATAATAGCTAGTAGAGGGTAAAACCACTTATTTAGCTTGCCGAGCACTTACTAGCGCTTATGCAATATTGCTTTTTTACTCTGTACAATAGTGGCTAAAATGCAATAATTTTTTATTTAAAAAAATATATTATGATTGTTTTTCTTTGGATAATGCCCAAGTAATGGCCGAAACGTTAGTAAAAGAGTAATTTAACCATCATGTGCTTTCATTTAGCGACCAGACAGTCATGGTGTCCTATCAGCATGAAAACCGCAGGATGAGTTTCAGATATTATATCCTCGGTGACATTAGAAGTGTTACCCCCAGAAAAAATAATTTCTTCAACTTCATTTCTTAGCGATGAGGTAGTCTTACATCAAGAATGAAACGATACATTCTCACGAAATTTTATTGACAAGTAATAAGGAAAAAAAATAACGTGTTGGGCGCCCCGCAGCTGAATACACTCCTGTATACGTCCAGACACCGACAAAATGAGACGATCTCTGTCTGGTTCTGACACCTCACAGGTCTACCTTCTTCTCCAAACCATTGGTCAGCGATCTAACGCGTAGTAGCAAATCGATAGGGCTAGTTGTCTGAAGCGCCTATCTTGACGCTCTGTGGTATGCCTCGGAGAACTAATTGGCCTTCTTCGTGTTCCTCTACCTTCTAGCCATACACGGCACACACGCATTACCATCATTGCAGTAAAATTAACAGGGCGGCGAATTTCGCAATAAGCAATAATTCTACCCCTGTCAAAGTCGTTAACATGGTGATAATTTGGACGTCTTCGGCATTTTGTTATGCTTAGCACTAGTAAATGGAAGGGCAATAACTAAAAATATCTGTACTACTCAACTCTCAGTAAACTGCTTTCTTCATTAAGAGAACATTTTAACAAAGGCAAACAAAAACCAAAGATCAATGTTTTCACAGCATGCTTTAAATATAGTCATTATGTTGCCGAAAAAAAAGTTGAAGAAATTTTTTTTCGGGCTATAACACTTCTAATGTCACTGAGTATATTAACACACTGTATAGTCACATAACCTGTTTTGACCATTTGGGAAATACGCTGTAGGTTGGTAGTAGTAGTAGAGTAGAAAGATTTATTTAGCACATTTGGCTGCATAGACAGAATAATTGTAAACGACTTAGAAATGGTAAATTCAAGCCATATGATGTATGATGTAAATGCTGGGCAACCTATAATTGTACATTTAACAAGTGATTTCTCAATTTTACTTTAAATTTTGTCAAAGTTTTCTGGTCTTTTATCTGAGTATAATTTATTATATTCAATCAACCCTTGATGGAATACAGATTTGTAGCATATGTTATACTTTTTGGTCATTAAAAGTCATCTTTATTTCTGGTATTATGTAAATGATGGTCGACATTTGATGATGTTAAATTAGTAAGACTTGATGGAAATATATTATTTTTTACTTTATAAATGAATATCATTACAAGATATTTGATAAAATTTTTTACATTGACCCATTTTAATTTGCTAAGCTTTTGCCTAATTGGAGTATATTTTTCCTTATTCAGTATTATTCTCATGCACTTATTTTGTAAAATTTGCAGTCTTTCAAAAATGGAATTATTTGCTAAATATAGTACAAGAACAGTACAAGAAATTTGGAAGAATGATGGTATTATAGATAATTTTTCTGCTATATGAATTCAGACATCCAGAAATTCTCGATTAATACTAATCTTATTTATAACTTTTTCATAATGAATATCAAAAATTAATCGAGAGTCAACAAAAACCCCCAGGTATTTAAAATTTTCTACGAATTCAATATCTTCACCATCAATATTCAGTTGAACATTTGTACATTGTTTTTTTACTTGTATTTAATTTTAGTCTGTTAGATGCTAACCATTTTGAGACAAGTTTAAAGTCTTCATTTATATAAGAGATACCAGTCTGAATATTTTGGTGGACATAACAAACTGCATAAGATAACACTATGTGTCAAATCAAAAAAACAATAAACATGAATAAGCAATGCAAACCTCTAGTTTAAAATTCACTCATAAAATATGGCAATATGAGTGGCTTTAATAACTTCTCTGTCGAGAGTTGACAACGGGATGAATCGAAAAAGTGCTACACTCTAGTTGTGTAATTTATTCATCTAGATTGTCTGGTATGCATGCTACGAATAGTGGCTGAAATATTTTTTGGAGGACTACGTATTATGTATAGTGATAAAATATTTCGCTCCGAAAGCTATCAACGCGTATGGCAAATGTCTATACCAGTGTTTCCCAAACTTTTGGAATTTGTGTACCCTTTATGTAACTCTCGTAGCCCTTGTCAAAAGAGATGGATGTAAACAAAAGTAGGTACATATTTTTCTTTCTATGGTTGACGTACACAAAATAGTAATAAACCAAAAATAAAATACAGGGTGTCCGCAAAGTTGGGGTTTTCCTTTTCAGAAACAACTACCCTTGAAATAACAAAGGTAATGTGTAGTGAAACGAGGGCGACCAAGTAAAAAAAAATAAAGGAAAAAGTACTCACTCTCCAGTTGACGAGAAGGGCTAAGTACGTCTCTGCCCGAAATCATACCGCTCCAACAGAAAATGAAATCAGCTGATGCGCTACCGAGCAGACGCAGGCAAACAAGGAAGGCAAAATATTGCGTAAAAAGTCTAGGTATTGCATCCCGTCCAATCGATTTGGGAGAATAAATGGTCCAATGAGCATACCGTTCACCATGCCAGCCCAAACATTCACCGAAAATGTTTGTTGAAAATGTGCCCGACGGACAGCGTGCGGATTTTCTACTGACCAAACATGAGTGTTGCGAAAGTTATTCACCCCATTACGCGTGAACGTAGATTCGTCTGTCACCAATATGCACTTCAAAAAGTCCGGATTATTGTCATGTTGATGCAACAACCACTCACAAAACCGCACTCTTGCTGGAAAATCGTCAGGTTGAAGGGCGTGTACACGTTGGACGTGAAACGGATACAGCCCCTCTTCACGCAGCGCTTGCCACACTTTAGTTTTTGATACTTGCACTTCTCTAGCCACGTCTCTAGTGCTTGTTGAGGGATTCTCGTCTACGCGATTACCTCTACACGCGTGACCGTAACCGTCGGTTGAAGGTTGCATACTGACCTGACACACTGACCCCGACCCCCGACCCAGTTCTGTCGTCGGGTTCAGCTAGTAGCCGGTACCAGTCTGGGACATCGCGGCGGGTGGCGGCTACAGGACGGTATTCAGATATTTTTGATGTTGCAGAGCCCTTTATCTCGGTTCCCTTAAGACATTGGTGTATATGGTACTAAGAAAAATTGCTTATGTTTTCAAGATCTACACGTCGTGTAAAGGAAAACCCCAACTTTGCGGACACCCTGTATATTCGTAATCATAAATGAAAGTTATTGTTCTAGTACATACTCAAAATAATAGTAAACCAAAAATAAGACACATTTATTATGAACATAATAGTTACATTGTGTTTTGATTAATGCGTAGCATTGAATTGGGGTACGCGTACCACTCTTTGGGAAACACTGTCCCAGCAATCTAATTTTCTTTAGACCTGACATTGGTGTGACACGTTCAACAACTTTACAGAATGGTTTCACTGAAATGGCATTGCAATGTGAAGCAACAAATGAAACACTAGTCTTAAAAGATAGCGCATGAGATAAACATTTAATTTATTTACAAAGCTTAGTATTTCAGTGATAATTTAAAAACTACT